ATCAGAACTTAGTCTTATCAACGCCCTTTTGTAGACGATCTTTCATTTTTTTCCTGAGCTGCTTTCAGGATTCTTTCTTTGTCTTTGGTTTTGGAAAGTTTGATTATGATAAGTCTCAATGTTCTTCTATTGGGATCTATCCTGTACAAGGTTCGTTGTGCTTCTTGTATGGTAATCTTCTCATCTTTCACAATATTAGAGAAGTTTTCTGTAAACATATCTTTAACAATTCTCTCTGTGCTTTTTGTTGACTCCTCCCCTTCTGGGATTCCAACCAGGCATAAGTTATTTCTCTTAATAGTGTCCCACATAACTCTTAGGCTTTCTTCGTTCTTTTTTTTTTTTCATTGTTCCTCGAACAGACTAGTGTCAAGGGATTGGTCTTCTATTCTGCTGATCCTGTCTTTCATTGTTTCAGTTCTACTCCTGTGACTTTCCATTGAGTTGTCAATTTCTGCAATTTTATCTTTAAGCTTCTGGATTTCTGGTTGCTACTTCTGTATCATTTCCAATTGTTTATTTATTTTGTCATTTTGTTCTTGTATTGTTTTCTGAATTCATCTAGTGTTTTATCTGTACATTCCTTGGTTTTGTCTGTGTTCTCCATTGTTTTGTCAGTGTTTTCCTTGATTCCTTTGAGGACCCCATACATAAGCCTTTTGAATTCCTTGTCAGAAATCCCCATTACCTTTTCTTCCCAGGGAGGATTTCTGGTTCTTCATTATTGTTACTTGCTGGGACCATCATGCCCTACTTCTTTAGGAGGTTTGCTACTGTCTGTTGTCTCTGGGACATTAAGGGGCTATTGTATTTATTTTTTATTTGTATAATTATTTGCTGGGCCCTGTTTTTGTTTTGTTTTGGTGATTCCTGGCCGGTGTGGCTGGAGTGGTGCTCTGGTCACTGAACTGGTCATGCTGGAGCCTTCCATATCTGTTTTTGGGCGAGTGAAGTGGCCGGTAGGTGTGAGAGCTCCATTCTCTGTTTACCGATCTTGCGGAGTACCTGAGGGTGAGTTGGTTTGGCTTTGGCCTCCATCTGTCTTCAGTTTGGTGGCTCAGAAGTGGGGAACGATGCTCTCCATGCAGGTGGAGTGGCCAATGTGGTGGGTGTGTTCGGTGAGTGGGGGTGTGGTCCTCTCCTCTCCTTGGTTGTGGGGGGGAGGGGAGAGGTGTGGGTGGTAGAGGGGGAGTGGTGGGGGGACGTTCACACAGTACTCTACTGCTACCTCCTCCTGGGCAGGGGGAGGGGAGAAGGAACAGCAGGCGAATGTTTGGGTCAGTCTCCTCACGTCTGTCTGTTGGTGGCAGGAAGAGGGAGGAAGGTGCAGTAGGTGGGCACTCACTCTTCTTCTGCCCTGAGCTGGGTAAGGGGAAGGAGGAAAGGGCTTCAGGGAAGGGCACCTAGTCATAGCTTCTCTGTTCTTTGCTAGGCAGGATCAAAGATGAATATGATCCTGATAGATGCATGCACAGTGGTGTTGCCTCACGTCAGGTGAGGGGAGGAAGGAAGGGGCTGTGACGAGATGTGTCCACAGTCATGGCTCTTCTCCCCATTGCTGGGTGGGTTAAAGGAGAGAGTTGTGCCTGGTGGATACACACACAGCAATGCCGCCTTGTGCCAAATGCGGGGAGGGAGGAGGGAGTGGTGGGTGAACTCTCTCGCTATCACACTGCTACTACACTCCACTGGGCCCTTGTGGGAGGCAGTAGTGGTGGGCAGGCACATGCATGGAGGCGTTCCTAGACTTGCTTTTCAGGTGGGCAAGGAAGAGCAGTGGATGAGGTTGGGTGGGGTGGGGGGAAGAGGATAGGCTCGTGTTATTGTCTCCCAGTCAGGCAAGGCGGGCCTTCTGCCAACTCTGATCAGGAGGTCTCAAGGAGTGTGTTTCTCCAGCTAGGATATGCGGGTGCCAGGGCACCTTGCATCTGCTGCTGCCAACAAGTAGGACCTGCCCTCTCTCAAGTGCGAGTTGTGGGGGGACCGAGGGACCAATTGGGTGGAAGAGCTTCCCCTGACACTCTGCGAGTCTACCACCTCGGACGTGCACTAACCCCCTGAGGTCAAGGGCTGCCCACTGAATATCTCTGGTTCTAGATCTGGCACCCTCCCTGTCTCTGCTTCTTTCTTTGTGTGTCTCTGGAGGTTCTCTGTCCCATTTGGGAAAGTCGTGAAGTTGCCGTGCTGTTTTCTTCACCTAAGCTCTCTGATGGTTTAGTCTTAAGTTAGCTGCAGCAGGCCGGGAAGACTGGCTGAGCTCTGCAGTTCTGTTACCCCTTTTTCACTGCTTTCCTTATTCCTTCCAATCAGTTTTTGGTTCAGTCCTTAGACTTTTCTTTTTTGATGTTCAGGGTTCCTGAATTATTATTTGCTTCTGTTTCACTTGCCGTTTTGGGTCTTTGGTGCAGGGGGTCATTATGGAGTGTGTGTGGCTAAGCTGCCATCTTCTCGCTGCCTCCAGGGTTTGTAGTTTAACAAGCACCACAGCTGATTCTGATTCACATCAAAGTTTGAAACTGTTATCCCACTCAGTCCTTCAAAAGCTATTTTCATAAAAGAAATGCTGTATTGTCACTACATTTATTTCATTTGGGAGATCAACAGAAATCTAGAAGGAAAATTTATTTTTAAAGAAGGCAGTTGACAAAGTGAAAAGTTTGAAAGCACACTCACGCAAATAAATGCAGGGAAATTTTGAAGAATTAAATGAAAATAACCTCCTACATTACTTTTCACCATAGTATCCCCATGTGATGCTCATTCCACGATGACTCTTATTCCTACCACACCTGTGCTAATTGTGTAATTAAAAATTAATTAAGCTATTTCTTTCCTTAAAAAAGAATGTTATTTGATATTTTCATAATATGTTTTTTCCTGACCTAATTCTCTAGAATTGAGAATTTTGATGATCTTCCTGTTTCGTTAGGCTTACAATGGCTCCTACTAAGGAAGAAATAATTTGGACCGAAGAAATAGATGCCTGACACCCAAGTGCAACAGCATATACCTTTAATTTCAATAAAAAATAAAATTCTTTCTTATTTTGCCTGAGAAACAAATTCTACTTTCTGGTGCACTCCCCTTTACACCCCACTGAAAGGTGTTATTTAAGTAAAAAGACCCTAAAGCAATTTTGGAGACTTTTCAGCAACTTAGCACCATTTTAAAAACAGCCTGATTGTCTAGCAGGAGGGAATAAGTTAAATAAATTGTGGTGCATACATCTCATCGACCTTCTTGTGGCCACAAAAATGTTTGCAAAAGTACACAAAATCACTGTCATAGGCATATGGCCACAAGAGAATATTAAGTGCTCATTAAGCTAAGAAATTGTGTATAGTGATACATTTAAACATATATATACATATACATCTCCCTGGTGGCACAGTGGTTAAGTGCTTGGCTGCTAACTGAAAGATCGGTGGTTGGAATCTATCAGTTGCTGCAAGGGAGAAAGATTCGGCAGTTTGCTTCCTTAAAGATTATAGCTTTGGAAACCCTATGGAGCAGTTCTACTCTGTCCTGTAGGGTTGCTATGAGTTGTGGGGATTAGCTCCACGGCAATGGGTTTATATACAGGTAGTCCTCAATTTAGGACACATATGAGTTACGATGAAATGCACTTACCACTGTCTTATTGTTGGTAATGTGTACTACATAAAAACCAAACCCACTGCTGTCGAGTTGATGGCATACAACCCTATAGGACAGAGTGGAACTGTCCCATAGGATTTCCAAGGAGCAGCTAGTGGATTCAAACTACTGACCTTTTGGTTAGCAGCCTCTGCTCTTAAGCACTGTGCCACCAGGGCTCTGTGTACTACATATAATGTTAAAATACATCCAGGGCTTCAAACCGGTTCATTCTGGTTCAAACCCCTAGTGAGAATTTGTATTTCTAACAAGTTCCCAGGCAGCGATGCTAATGCTGCAGTTTAGGGACCAATTCTGAGAACCTCTGGTAGAGCAGTGGTTCTCAAAATTTATTATACATAAAAATCACCTGGGGATCTTGTTAAACTGTAGACTCTGATTCAGTATATCTTGAGTGAAAATGCAGATTGTCAGCAGGGGTTCGAACCAGAACGAACCAGTTCAAAGCCCTGAATATATCTTTAAGTTTTTATGTAATGTTTCCAACTCCCAATGACAAATAAAGATTGGATTTATAAAGATACTGATAATAAAAGACAATAATAATGAGATATTCAACTTACATCAGAACCGACTTACAGTCATAAGTAGGGACTATATATGTGTGTGTATATATATATGTAAATATATATGCTCCACATGTGTGTGTATATATATATATACACACACACACACACACACACACACACACACAAACACGCAGCCCTGGTGGTGCAGTGGCTAAGAGCTACAGTTGCTAACCAAAAGGTCGAAAGTTTGAATCCACCAGCCTCAACTTGGAAACCCTATGGGGCAATTCTACCCTGTCCTATAGGATGGCTGTGAATCGGAATTGACAGGACGGCAACGGGTATATATGTGTGTATAAATATATGTATATATATATGTATATATATGTGTATAGATGTATGTATATATATAACTGGGGGAAATACACCAATGTCTATGTTAACAGTGGTTATTTCTTTGAGAGGAGTTGGGCTTTCTGATTATCTGCATACTTTCTCAAACCTGTCACTTTCCTACAATATTTGATGTATTCATTACTTCAATGTTCAATAAATTCTACATTGCTATTTAGGTAAAAAGACCTTAACACAAGAAAACCGCCTTATTCGGTCAGGGCCCCAGTCTATCAAGGTCAACATTATTAGCAGCAAAAAAAACTCAGGTGTTTTGAATATTACACGATCCACGCTTCCCCTTCCCCCGCATCCCCTGGAAACTAGGGGCAAACTTCCGGAAAGAGCTTTTGGGGCGGAGCCCAGGGAGTTTAGACGCCTCCCATTGGTTCTTCCTGGTCGTCAGCCCCACTTTGTTCTCCTGGGCTGACGAGCCAATGGGGACGCGAGTTGTGGTTTAAACTCCAAGCCTGGCGCGACGGCGAGCGGCCGCGTCTTGGGTGAATTTGGCTGTTGAGATTAAGGTGGGTATGTGGAGGTGCCTTGCGTGGTCGGAGGCGCTGAGTCCCCAGGGGAAGAAGGCGGACTGGAACTGGGGCTACCTCGAGGCGTCGATTTCGCTGAGCCGGGTTTAGCTACGGCTTCGGACAGCGTCGGGACCCCCGGCCCCTCTCTTCTGATAGGCCTGTGCGGAACCCAAACCGCCCGCTCCTCAGAAATTTAGAGCCCCTGACTCAGGCCTGAAGAGTTAAGAACTGAGTTAAGTGCTTATTGGCTCAAACACGGGCCTCTTTCTCTGCATAGCTCTTCTTGTGTGGCTGTTCACTGGGTGGGCAAGTTTTGTCCTTTGTGACGGGGCGGTTTAACCAGTAAGGAAGGTATGCTTGGGTTCACTTGTGTTTATTTACTAATCTGTAATGCATGATTTCATGTGAGTAATCCGTCCCGTAGCACCTCAGCTTTCTCTTGCGTTCTGCCACCTTCGGCGTCTAATATGTATTTCTCACCACTAGAGTAATCCAAATGGCTACTCTGATCTTTGTTGATAAGGAAAATGGAGAAGTAGGCACTCGTGTGGCTCCTAAGGATGGACTGAAGCTGGGATCTGGGTCTAGTAAGTATACAGGCTACAATTGAAAATACAGCTATTGTGAATTAATTGTGAATGTGGTCCAGAGCTAGGTCAGGCATTTGTTGTAATCTGTTGGTAATAATCGGAGTCAAGTCTACAGCACCCTGTTATTGCAAACAGTTTGTTATAGGTTTCTTTTTCTTGTTTAGTATATTAATGGGATTATTTAAGAGAGCACTGAACTGAAGTGCTATTGAGCATATCATAGCCATGCCACTGTCAAAAACGGGGCTGGGTTTAGGGATGAGGGTTAGGACAAGTTTATATATTAGTCAGCCTTCACAGTTACATAGCTGTTTACTGCTTGAATAACATTATTTTTCCTCAGCTGTCAAAGCCTTAGATGGGAGATCTCAGGTTTCCACACCACATGTTGGTAAAATATTTGATGCTCCATCTGCCCTACCTAAAGCTACCAGAAAGGCTTTGGGAACTGTCAACAGAGCTACAGAAAAGTCAGTAAAGACTAATGGACCCCTCAAACAAAAGCAGCCAACCTTCTCTGCCAAGAAGGTAAGTGTTGACTATAAAGACACTGTTTAAACACTTCAGCGCTTTTGACTCTTTAAAAAAATAAATAACTTGGCATCCTACCTGGCTTTCTACCCTGTTGAGTAGAAGAAAATATAGGCTAGCAAACATAGATTAGCAGAGGGGAATCACATGGTCTTTGTGGACCTTGAGATCGGAAGTCTCAGAAGCAGCTAGTGAGTGTTTTTGCTGCACCTGCCATTAACTAGTTTCTTGAAACAGATTGGTTGGTAGCATCCATTTACAGATGAGTAAAATACTAAGAGGGAGTGCACCTTGTAAGAGGTCACGTTAATAGGACTAATATTGCCCAGGTGTTGCCACCCCGCTGCCAGCAAGCACCAGCTTGTTACATGACCATCTGCTAGTGTATGGACCTGTGTGTGCGTGCTCTCGCATGTGAGCTACATGCTAGTGAGAGGACTTTGCTCTGAAAGATGACTTTAGCTGACGTGAATTAACACTTCAGTGATTGTTTAATGTGTTAAAAATCAACTTACTTTACATCAAACCTGTCACTTATATAATGTGCCTTTGGATAAGGATGTCTTTTTTTTAAAAAAAGTAAATTGACTTAGAGAAATGTTAGATACAGTTATTACAAGGATATGGCAAAAATAATGAGAATGTTATACAGAGGACTGAAGTATGGGGAAAACCTACCCTAAGGTTTTCTTCTGGGATTGCATGCATGTATGAGGTAAGGTAAACCACTAATACCTAGGCTTCTATTTTAGTCTATGATATTGTAGACTGTCTGCCTGCCAATTCCAGGCTAGGGACTTATCCATGGTGGACTCCTAAAGTCTTTGATTGTCTTCTTTTCCTGACTCTTACTCAGTATGTGTATTTGCGGAACACAAACTTGTTTTTAATATTACCCGGGCAAATAATTAAGGTAACACTGATGGAAAATGACACTTCCAAAAGTCAGATGGCTTCTGGGATTAACTACTACAGTATTCTGGTGACTCGTGCCCATTTTCTTCTCTGTTAGGGCGAATAATTGAATTGATTCACTCTGAACTAAATCTCTGCATTTTTGATAAGTTACACTGGCAGGTGCTGATACTTAAATTTCAGAATTAACTTTTGAACCATTCTACTTGCTGAATTATATTTGTGTGTAATCATGAGAACTAAAGATTTTGGCTTCTTAGAAGTCAGCATGAAATTGATACATTTTAAACTTCAGTGGAGTAATCATATGCTTTGAAAAGGCCCTACTCTTTATTAGACTAATCAATTGACAAGGCTTCCACTCTCAACTAATCTATATTTTCTTGGGTTGTTTTAGATGACTGAGAAGACTGGTAAAGCAAAAAGCTCTGTTCCTGCTTTGGATGACACCTGTCCAGAAATAGAAAAATTCTTTCCCTTCAATCCTCTAGGTAGTATCTTTTGGTATTGCAAAAATGATTTTGGCTTTCAGTTTCTCTTAGAATTCAGTTCAGCTGTAATTTGATATGGATATGGCAATGTGACTTGGAGGTGTAACGAAAGACTGTCTGAATCTGGTTTGCTTTGAACAAGTATATTTGTAGATGAAATAATTTGCAAGGTATCATCCTAGGCATGGAGGAGACAATAGGAGTAAAGTTGGAGGACCTTGTTCCTGTCCTTTTTTTTTTTTTTTAACAGGGCAAACATATTTAATAAAGTGCAGTTTGTTAAAATCCTGTTAAAACATGGGACAAGGGAAAGTAACAATAACTGAAGAGAATCACTGTAGGAAAAACTCTCAAGTCTGGGACCCAGAGACCTCAGAGAGGCAGTGGGAGAACTTCATGTTCTGAAGGGAAGGAGCCCCCCCCACTCTCGTCTCCCTTTTCCCTCTCAGCCATTTCATCCCACCAGGAACTACCAGGACACCCAGAATAAAAGGTTTCAAGCTTAATAGTCACTCTCCAAATATAAAAAGCAATTACAGTTCAATTTAACACAGATACTTGTGTGCAAAGTTACAAGGAACTGATACATCATATAAAAAGTTAGATTAAAGGTGATTTTGTGGTTTATTGGGTCTGTATTTTGTTTTGAAGTCACCTGAGATCTTCCTGGTTACCTTGATGAAATAGCAACAGCTGACCCACAGTAAAAACTGACAAATTCTAAAAATTAAAAAAGCATAATCACCAAAAACAAGCAGATGAAAAAAATCTGTCACTGCTTCCTCCTTCTGCATTTTGCTTTTTGAAACTCATGTTTTAAGTTTTTGATTTTTTTTTTTTCCGTGAAAAGTTAAACAGCTCCTGAAAGAATTTACAACAAACTGCATGAGAGTCTGGGAAGTTGAGGGGCCGGAGGGTCTGGGCAACTGGATGGGAGGGGTCCTCCCCTCAGTCACTAGAGCCTCACTGTAGGACCAAGGGACGGGGAGGAATTCTTTAGTCAAAAAGGAAGAAGGAGGAAGAGGAGGGAGGAGATGGGGGCAAACAAAATAAAAGGTCATTGTTGCCTGTTTGAATCCAGAGAGAAATGCCTGGCCCTGTGTAGGGGGAAGAAACCCCTTGGCAGGGAGGCAGTGGTGGTTTGGGGGGACTGCCTCTCAGAAAAACAGTCACTGAGCCAGCCTGTCATCAACTGTCTTGTTGGGGCTAGGGACTGGGTATGGAGGCTGACTGGCATCAGTCCTGGTCTAGCTTTGGGCTGGGTGCGTCCTCGGACTCTTCCTCCTCAATCTCTCTCATCCCGTGCCACAATGTCCAGGTTGTTGAAGTAGGGTTTGTCATCCACTGTGCTGTAGTCAAAGTCCCCGTCCTTGCTGTCCAGGAAGCATGCTGGTGCATCAGGCTAAGGGAGACAAGATATGTTTGTTAACATTGATCAGGTATAAATGTTGAGTTTTTCTAGCAAGTCTTTTAGAAAGTGGGCTTTATGTCAAATTGAACAATGCCTTGAGAGTACTTCGGGTAGGGCAAGTATACTTCTGGTTAGAAAAATCCATGTAGCCAGTGAAAACGTGTTTTTGTTCCTTAAACCTGCAACATGTATGTGAAGTATTTCCTGTTACAGAATCACTTTTCAAATTTTAATTTACTCAAATGTTTGAGAGGTACTGTGTGCCAGGCACTGTTAGGCTTTGGATACATTGATTAACAAGACAGGCCCTGGCCTGAGGGAGCCTGCAATTTGGAAGGAAAGTCAAAACACTGAACAAATCCTCTCACTCTGAATGTGAGGAAGGAGAAAAGTGGCCCATGAGGGGAGTACTGAACATAGCCTTGGAAGATCAGTTAAGTGTCATGAATTGTTGAGGAGATAGCTATGTGAAGAAGTGGAGAGGCAAAGTAAGATCGTTGTTGGTAAAAATGTATGCAAAGGTCCTGAAGTAGAAAAAGGACTGAAATGGTTCTGGGGAAACAAAGTTGGCCAGAGTGAAGGACCGTACAGGTTACGGGGCAAGTGCAGATCAGGCAGAGCCTTCTAGAGAGAGCTAAGCGGTATTTAGCCATTCTACTGATGTACATTTGAGTTTTTCCCCCAGCTTTTATGTATTCTAAGCAATTCTGCAATTGATATTCTCAAAATCGTATTGTTTTGAGTTTGTGAGTTTATCTATAGGGTAAACCTTAAGAATGATTACTGAGTCAGAGAGTGTATGATAAAACATTTTGATAAAATGCAGTGTTTCCATGCTAATGATTTCTATTCAGTCATTCAGGAAAATGAGGTAGATCTGTATGTATTGACCAGAAAGGAGGACCACAATATGCTGTGTTTAAGAAAAGAGATACCTGCCAATTTGCCCTCCAAAATCAGGGTATAAATTATTGAGCCCACACACAGTGGGTGAGGATGCTTATTTTACCTGTGATCTCTAACTGCAGGTGTCTTAAAACTCTTATCTTTATTGGAAGGGCAATGATAGCTCATTGTTTTCAGTTTGTTTTTTGTGTGTTTGTGTGTTAGAGCATATTTGATTATTGGCTTTGTACTTTTTTTCTTTTAGAACTTCTGTTTGTATCTTTGTCTTCCCTTGATTATGTGACTTTCTTACTGATTTTTTTAGAGCTCTTTGTGGATGAAGGAAATTGGCCTTGTTATGCTACAGACTTTTTCTTTTAGTGTCTGTTGTCTGTTTATGATTTCCTTTACAATTCAGTGGTTTTAAGTTATGTGGCCACATATCACTCAATTCTTTTGACTTCTGAGTTTTACCAAGCTTGGAAAAGAGCAGACTAATTCCTGAGTATTTAAGGCTTTAGAGAACTGTCACTCGTAAGAACAAAGGTGGGGGAAAACTACCATACTTTGACCTTTTGAGAAAACACTTAGCCTCCTTGAAAAGAGGAAAGGCTCAGTATTTAAGTTATCCTTTTGTTACTGTCAAGAAAAATTGGATGTTTTAAATAATTCCTAAGAAGTAAGACGCTTGGATTTTAAGAAGCAATGTTACCTAACACAGTAACTCTCAAATGTTTTGGTTTTAGGACTCTATTGAACTCTTACACTAATTGCAGACCCTGATGAATTTTTGCGTGCTCTATCCTTATTAGAAACTAAAACCACAAAACTTAAATATTTATTTATTTAAAATAATTAACAGAAATAATTTTTTTTTAAAAAAAAATTGCTTTTCCAAAACAAAAATTAGTGAGAAGAATGGTATGGCTTTTGAAAATTCATGTAATTTGTCTCAGTACAAGACAGCTATATTCTCATCTGATTCTTCTTTCAATCTGTTGCAATCTGTTTTTGATTAAAGTACTGAAGAAAATATGGCCTCACACAGATACATGTTAGAAAACGGAAGAGCATTGTATTAGCTCTTTCAGGTAAGTATGCATATTTTCCTTTGATACTACACTAAAACCGGACAAATGGCTGTTTCTTAAAGTATAGTTGCAATGTGAAATTGGAAACCATATCAACGAATATTTGTACTCTGACAATAAAATCCCTTGGTCTCTTTCATTTCGAATGGGTCTTTTATCCTTGAATTTATCAAGCATTGATAATTTGGAAATACTGGTTCACTGAGATATGTAGATCATCTATACGTTGAAGTGTTTTATTATGCAAATGGACATTATTATCACCAGTGCTTTCATCAGAACAGTCTTAAGTATTAGGAAGCTGTCAATTCATGGTAGCAGATAAGTTTCCCCAAACTCTTATTTTCTTGAAAATTTTCAGTTGTATATTTGGCAGCTGTCAGTTTTCCTTGAGGTGATAGACTTTCCTTCCTTTGAGAAAATGTGTGACAAGTATCCAACTCTGAGTAAAAATGGTATTCCAGGAAGAAGGCCTCTAGTTCAGCTTGCAACTCAGATAATTGGACAAATCCTTTCTCTTTGAGATGAACAGCATACTTCAGTATGCAGCAGAAGTGCTTTATGCATACTCTTTCATTTTATCACACAGAATATTAAAAAGATGTATTCTCAAGGGTTGAGAGCTAATAAAATATTTTTTTTTACTGCATTCAGTAAAGTTGACTTTACATGAAACTAGCATTTTTTTTTTTTTTTTTGCTGCAAGTGTTGGTGAAGAATACAATGACTACTAATATACTCTGTTCCCACTGTCTTGATTTTTGCTACCCAAAACCAAACCCACGGCCATCGAGTCAATTCTGATTCATAGTGACCGTAATTGCCCCAGAGTTTCCAAGGAGCACCTGGTGGATTTAAACTGCCGACTTGTGGTTAGCAGCCTTAGCACTTAGCCACTACACCACCAGGATTTCTTGATTTGTGCTAAGACACCAGCAATTTTATCCACCATTGCATTTGTGCCATCATTACAAGCGTCAACACAGTGGAAAAGGTATTCATATTATGAAAATAGTTTTTAGTCTTATGGATCCACCAAAAGGCTCTCAGACTCCTGGGATCCCCACCAACTACACTGAGAACTGCTGCCTTAACAAAATGTTTTCTCTTTGGGACAGATTTTGAGAGTTTTGACCTGCCTGAGGAGCACCAGATTGCACACCTCCCCTTGAATGGAGTGCCTCTCATGATCCTTGATGAGGAGAGGGAACTTGGAAAGCTCCTAGACATGGGTCCTCCCTCACCTGTGAAGATGCCCTCTCTGACATGGGGATCTAGTAAGTGAACAAGTGCCCTTCCTTCTAGAAGGGCTGCGAACAATTTGTTTCATGACACTTCCCTTAACTGTGGAACAGAGTTGTGTGGGATGTTAGCATATAAGGAATTTCTATCCTTTGAACTAGAGGGGTAAGGTTTCAGAATAATGAAAACTATTCTCAGTTGGGATTGCTTTTTAGTCCCAAATGCTAGGATAAAATTAAGTCATTCTGGAATCCAGACTATCTTAACATACAGCAAAACGAGTTAAATTTAATATGTAGCTTCTTAGGCTATATGTTGAAGTATTATAAACTTGTTTGGGATGAGAATCACAAGTTATATCTAATTCAAGGGTAACAGGAACAAGATACTTGTGCAATGGCATAGAATAGCAGTACCTTCTTATTACACAAGGTGTGAGCTCTTGGTTTAAACTGGTAGTCAGAACCATCATTGGTATGTTTTCTATTTGCTCCTGCCTGGCTTTGATAGAGTAACTTGTACTATTTTATAAATCACATTAGTGATACTGGATCTCTAAGAAAAATAGAGGTTCAGGTACTTCTAAGACTTCCTAAAGAAGGTTAATTCTGGGGCCACAATCACATTCCAAGAAATATGTGGATGGGAGGATAGGGACCCATCAGAGAAAAACATGAGCCTATGATTATAAGTGACAACTAATAATCAGCGTCGACATGAATAGACTCAAGGATTTACAGAAATGTAATAAATTCCTGTTTTTCTAGATCTGTTGCAGTCACCTTCAAGCAATCTGTCGACCCTGGATGTTGAATTGCCACCTCCTTGCTATCACTTAGATATTTAAGCTTCTTATTGCTTTATAGTTTGCATGTATTTTTTTTTTTTTGTATTAATAAAGCTGTTATTTATTTAATAGACTTTTCCTAATGTTGTGATTGATATTTTTTTGGAGTTTGTTTAAAACCGTATGAAAACTAGCTGAAGTATTTATCAGACAGACATCTATAATGTGACACCAGAGGTTTCTCTGGTTTGCACAAACTTAACCTTAAAACACTTTGGTTTGTTTTAACAGCTTATTTCAGAAGCTGCCACTGTTTTCCCTGAAACATATACTCTTCAATGTGTACTTTATTGCCTTTTTGTGGCCGTTAACTAGTGACAGTTATTAGAACTCTTAATCAGAAGAACCACTTCCAGCTTATTAAGAATCTACTGCTAGGTATTCTTTATTGCTGGTCGTATTGAGTTTCTAATGAGTTTAATGCTCAGTATTCATTAACCAGAATTTGAATGGTTCTAAATAACCTGAGCACTCAGCCTCCTTGGGATCTTCAATTAGATACTTTGAAGATCACAAAATATAACTCACTGATAGACTTGTTGATTTATCTTCCACCTATAGGAAACTCTATGTATTTAGTTGTTTACCCTGTGTTGGACATTGTTTTAAGTTAGGTAAGTGCTCAGCTGCTAACTGAAAGATTGGCGGTTCAAACTCACCAGGTGCTCCTCAGGAGAAAGATGTGGTAGTCTGCTTCTGTAAAGATTTACAGTCTTGGAACCCCTATGGAGCAGTTTCACTCTGCCTTACAGTATAGCTGTGAGTCAGAATCGACTCAACAACGGGTTGGTTTTTTTTGGTTTGGACATCGTTTTAAGTATTTGATGAGCATTGTTGTTAGGTGCTATCGAGTCAGTTCCGAGTTATAGTGACCCTATGTGCAACAGAAGGAGACACTGCCTGGTCCTGCCCCATCCTCACAATTCTTGTTATGCTTGACCGCATGTTGCAGCCACTGTGTCAGTCCATCTTGTTGAGGGTCTTCCTCTTTTTCACTGACCCTCTGCTTTACCAAGCATGATATCCTTCTCCAGGGACTAATCACTCCTGACATGTCCAAAGTATGTGAGACCAAGTCTCACCATCCTTCTAATGAGCATTCTGCCTGTACTTCTTCCAAGACAGATTTGTTCTTTTGGCAACATCATAATTCAAAGGCATCAATTCTTCTTTGATCTTCCTTATTTATTACCTAGCTTTCACATGCATATGAGGCGATTGAAAACACCATGGCTTGGGTCAGGCACACCAGTCTTCAAGGTGACATCTTTGCTTTTTAACACTTTAAAGAGGTCCCTTGCAGCAGATTTTCCCAATGCAATGCCTCGTTTGATTTCTTGACTGCTGCTTCCATGGGTATTGATTGTGGATCCAAGTAAAATGAAGTTCTTGACAACTTAAGTATTTTCTCCATTCATCATGATGTTGCTTATTGGTCCAGTTGTGAGGATTTTTGTTTTCTTTTATATTGACGTGTAATCCATACTGAAGGCTGTAGTCTTTGATCTTCATCAGTAAATGCTTCAAGTCCTCTTCACTTTCAGCAAGCAAGGTTGTCATCTGCATATTGTAGATTGTTAATGAGTCTTCTCCAATCCTGATGCCACATTCTTCATATAGTCTAGCTTCTCAGATTATTTGTTCAACCTACAGATTGAATAAGTATGGTGAAAGGATACAACCCTGATGCACACCTTTCCTGACTTTAAACCACGTGGTAGCCCTTGTTCTGTTCGAGCGACTGCCTCTTGGTCTATGTACAGGTTTCTCATGAGCACAATTAAGTGTTCTGGAATTCCCATTCTTCACAATGTTATCTATAATTTGTTATGATCCACACAGTTGAATGCTTTAGCATAGTCAATAAAACACAGGTAAACATCTTGTATTCTCTGCTTTCAGTCAGGATCCATTGGACATCAGCGGTGATATCCCTGGTTCCATGTCCTCTTCTGAATCCGTCTTGAATTTCTGGCAGTTCCCTGTGGATGTACTGCTGCAACCGCCTTTGAATGATCTTCAGCAAAATTTTACTTGCGTGTAATGTTAACATTGTTCGATAATTTCCACATTCGGTTGGATCACCTTTCTTGTGATTAGGCATAAATATGTATCTCTTTCAGTTGGTTGGCCAGGTGGCTGTCTTCCAAATTTCTTGGCATAGACAAGTGAGCACTTCCAGCACTGCATGCTTTTGTTTGAAACATCTCAATTGGTATTCTGTCAATTCGTGGAGCCTTGTTTTTCACCAGTGTCTTCAGTGCAGCTTGGACTTCTTCCTTCAGTATCACAGGTTCTTAATTATATGCTACCTCCTGAAATGAGCATTATTGTGTTTAATGTTCATGACCTTGTTTTTCAGTGAAGACTGAGCTCAGAAGTTCATTGATTTGCCAAGACTTTAAGAATTAGAAAATAGAGCTGGTATTTTTGTTCCAAATCTGAGATTGGAATCAAAACATCAGAGATTGCAAACGGTTATCCATGGATTTTCTTTTTTGGACAGAAAGGGTGGATAATATTTTTAAAAATTTAATTGTTGCTGCTATTTAAAACTTCGAAGTTTTGCATCTCTTCAGTTTTGTAGCTTCTCTTAGAAAAGCAGATCAGCCAGTCATAGGCCCTTGTTTCCAACACTTGCTGGACTGGATGGAGTGGCTTTCTATCCCACAGACCCTTTGGTGGTTTTAAGGGGGAACTAAAGTTCCTTTTACTCTTTTCTTAGACCTGCCTGCTTGATTCACTCACTTTACTTGTCTGGGTGAAGCCTTTCCCCTGAAACATCTGTGGCATCTATAGTCTAGTTAGAATACAAACCCTTTCTTTACCGTTGTTATTAGAGGAAGCGGAAAAATGTTAGGCATGAAATACTAGGAACAGGTACAGCCACTGATCAGACTTGAAAACTTTTTCCCCTCTAAATAGAACTGAATCAGTCTGAATTTCTAGAATTAGTTGAAAGACATACATCTAGTAGAAAATAAGACTACTAGGGGGCTTGACTTTATAGGGGGTATTAGGTCTAGCAAGGAGCCTTGGTTGTGCAGTGATTAAGCGCTTGACTGCTAACCGAAAGGTCGGTGGTTCGAACCCACCAGCTGCTCTGCAGGAGAAAGATGTGGCAGTCTGTTTCTGTAAAGATTTACAGCCTTGGAAACCCTATGGGGTAGTTCTACCCTGTCCTGTAGGGTTGTTCTGACTCAGAATCGACTCAGCGGCAATAGGTTTGGTTTGTTTTTGTTTGTTTTAATAGGTCTAGCATCTTCAGTATAATTTTAGTAGCTTTTGCCCGCTTTGAAAAGCAAAAGGTATAATTCTGAATGGCTTTCATATGCTACAGTTTGAATTTAGGAACTTTGGAAAATGGTCTCTTCTGGTAGTTGTGGAGGGACAAAAGTTCATAGTTCAGTCCTTGCAACTGTTACCATTTCCTTATTAGGAATGAATTTTGTGGACATCTTTCAGTCAGATGCTATTAGTAAGTTATAGAATTTTGCCCTCAAGTGGGCCTGGCTGGGAGTAAAGGGACTTAGTACCTTACCGATTACTGTTCCTCTGGGATAGAACCGAGCATTGAGCTGATCTTGTCTCTTCATCTGCTGCTGATCAGATATAATGTGCTTAATGTGTGTTGAGACTTTAATTGGAAACTTCAAACAAATGCTATTAATACATGTAATTTTCATCTTGTGGGGATTGTTGGTGTTTCTATACAGGCAGTCCCCAGGTACAAATGAGATCCATTCATAAGTGTGTCTTTAAGTTGAATTTGTAACTCAGTTGGAACAGGTGCATGTTGTTAGGTGCCGTCAAGTTGGTTCCGACTCATACTGACCTACGTACAACAGAACAAAACACTGCCCCGCCCCGTGCCATTCTCACAATCATTGATTGCTATGTTTGAGACCATTGTTGCAGCCACTGTGTCAATCCGTCTCATTGAGGGTCTTCCTCTTTCTTGCTAACCTACTTTACCAAGCATGACGTCCTTCTCCAGGAACTTGTCCCTCCTGATAACATGTCCAAAGTACGTGAGATGCAGTCTCCCCATCCTCACTTCTAAGGAACATTCTGGCTGTACTTCTTCCAAGACAGACCTGTTCATTCTTCTGGCAGTCCATGGTATATTCAGGATTCTTTGCCAACACCATAATTCAAAGGTATCAATTGTTATTTAGCCTTAGTGCAAGAAAAACTTGAGAAAAGTGCATTGAAAAGGCTTCAAGCCTTTTCATTGATTTAAAAGCTGCATGTGCAGCAAGTGAAGGTGATTGTGATGAAGAATTTGTTGCGATTAGGGGTTGATTAAATCATTCAAAGTGAAGGCAAATTTACGTAACGTTAAAGAGCAAGTAGGACTAGTCTGGAAGTAGGCTGTTTGTAACCTGGGGACTTACTGTACAATCTGAGTGAATAAGTATTTGGCTTCTTATTTCAAAAAGCTTCCGAGAAGCACTTTTTGGAACTCTAGTTTGTCCAGACCATAATGCCCTAGAATTAAAGATTTTTTTCCACTACACTGGACCCCAAGGATGCTCTTACCTATGTAACATTCACCCATACATAGCTCTCTGTTGGTGTTTTTTCAGACCTCTAATTTCAACTAACCTTCAATGGGAACAGAAAGGCTTTTTAACATTTAATGTTGATATTCTCAGACTAATTTTGAAGGACATTGCCAAATCATGAAAAGGTCAGTACTACAGTAGAAATTCCTAAATCGATGTTGTTCTTTCCGTTAATCGTAAATCATTTATTGAGGCCCCACTGTGCTAGGTGCCAAGGCTACAGTGGTGAAGTAACATAGTTCCTGCCCTCATGGTACCGTAAGGAAAAATACAGATTGAAAATAAGAGGTTTTTAATTCTACCTGTTGAAAATAAGAGACTCCCTTCCTCCCCTGTTATTTCAGAATTCACTTCAGGTAACTTATAAATTCTATGTCTCTTTGAAAAGTATGTAAATACTAAAAGTGTAACTTCAAGTGATCCTCCCTGACCTTCCTGTTTCCTGGAAGGAGAATACCATTACCTTAGGTGGCCCAGCCCAAAATACTAGAAAATCAATATTATCTTGAA